TGCATTTAGTCATTGTGGTTCTGTAAAATTGAATCTTTCTTGCTTTTGTTATCTTTGTGCATTGCATACATGACAAAAGGGTCATTGTAATTTGTTACAAAAAATGCATATTGACGCGCGCCAGGTAGGGGTCGAACCTACGGCCTTCTGCTTAGGAAACAGACGCTCTATCCACTGAGCTACAGGCGCTTTGTGATTGACCATAAACATGGACTTTTAATAAATTGGTATTTTAGTGTCATGTCATTAAGAAAATCGGTTGAACCGACTTCTCTAACTGAAATTCAAATTGGTGAGTTTGGTGGCCATTTGATTTCAGTCTTTTTGTGGGGGCCGACGAAACTTTTTGTTTTAAAAAGAAGAAGAAATAAATGGTTGTGGTGCACTCTACTATTTATGGGTTTAGTTCACCAACTAACACAATTACTACTACTAATTCACTTCAGACAACCAAATTACTAAATTAAGTTATCATAGAGTAGATTTGTAATTTACTTAATGTTTTAGTTTACCATAACAGATCTATATTTACTGCTAAGGAACCATGTTCGAATGAGCAAGTGAATATCACTGTCCGGATTTCGGGTTTGGGAGGTTTATATAAAAATTATCTACAAGTTTGTAATTATTCATTTGCATAATTGATATAAAAATAAAAATATAGGCAAAAGAATATTCGTCTCAATTTGTTACTCTATCTTACGTCTTAAAAAATTATCGATGTCACCCTAATTTATTTTTTAACGGTGTTAGTAACTTAGTATGAGAAATAAAACAAAGTTTTCATCACCGTTTGTCAATTTCCAATTTGTGAGTATATATATATTAAAGGACTTTCAATGTATGAATTGAGGTATGGCCTTGTGAGACAGACAAGTCCCTAAATTTCATAAACAAGTCAACAAGTCTCACTTGGGTTGTCTTCTTCTCTCAAGGAAAGTTGGTTGATTTTAATGCCTTCGGTGATAACTCATAAAGTCATTTTACACATCGAAAGATTTGTGTTTATAATTTGCAGTTACAAGTTTGAGGTGGGGTCTCACATAGTCATGGTCACGCATGGTAATGGTTACGTTGAGAGTGAAAAATGATAATTTATTCGTAAATCAAAACATCTATAGCCATCATTACTAGGCCCGGGCGCGGATCGGATATCTGAAAAAATGCAATATTTGTGATTCGATTGGTTTTTTACGGATATCTAATTTTTCAATTTGCTTTGCTTCGGAAAATTTCGGATATCCGAATTTTTTCCAGATATTTGCGGATATCCGGATCTTCAAGGATATATGATTTAAACAAAATAAAAATTAAAACACCATAATCTTTTTTTAAAAACAAAAGTTTTAATAAGATTTAAACTAATTAATAAATAAATATATAAAATAGATCTAATTTTATTCGATATAATTAAAAAAATGAAAAGTGAAAGATGAAAACTGTATTAAAAAATATATTTCAACTAAAGTTAGTATCTACCTATTTTTACAATAAATATACCCATTAAATATATTTAAAAGTAAAAAAATGTAAATATATGTTATCAATCTATCATATTATATGTATATATAAGTAATATACGAATCGGATCGGATATTCGGATTTTTAAAATTAGTATTTGTGATTTGTTTCGGTTTAGACGGATACTAAATTTTACTATTTGCTTCGTTTTGATTCAAAACGAATATCCGAATTTTTTGGATCAGATCAAAACGAATAGCGAATCGGATCAAATTTAACGGATAATT